AATTTAAATTATTTGAGTGATTGAAAAATTGGACTTGAAATAGTTTAATTCTGTCAATGTGCTAAGAATTTAGTTTGTAAAATTATATTCAAAATATAAGTACTAATTAAAACTTATAACACTGGAATATTTAGACTCTTAAACATTTTTACGATAACTTTCTTGAAAAAATGAATAGTAAAATGATTAACAGGTTTGAGTACAATTATTTTTGTAAATTGTCAGTTTATTTCCGCAAAACATGCAATAATTGCTTGATTTACCATTTAAATTTAAGTACTGAATTCAGTTATGATTATTCCCTTGTTCATGACCTTTGACCACTGGAACTTTATTTCAGTTAATACCAGACATTGATGTTCAAGACTTTGGATCATCTTGGAAAGATGGTTATTACTTGTGCTCATTAGTAAAAGCACTTGGAGGAAGCGTAACAGCATATCCTAATGAAAGCCATGCGCAATCCTTGGAGAATATTAAAAGAGGTTTGTTTGAATAATGTCAAGAATATACGATATTGCAGCAATCAGATAATAAGTTTCCTTAATTCAGGCTGCTATCGATGCTACTAAACGAAATATTTATTATTTTTATATTACTGCAAAGTTTTTTTTAGTCACTGAGTTAATTTATCAAAAGTAATTTTATCTTTATTCTATATTTATTTATATGTATCGCAGAAATATACCGGATTAATCCGATTAGATATTTAGTAACACTAATACAGTACTGATTAATTCGCCTATATTGCTGATAGATCATTATTTTTGGTTTTGTATAAGTAATCAGTCTCTAATTAAGTTCAAAAAAAATCAAACTTTTTTGAAATACTTTTATTATTATTATTATTAAAAATAAAATGACAAGCTTCAAAAAAGAGTTGGTGGAATTCATTAGCAAATTTACAGTAATTTTATGGAAATAAAGAAAAAATTGCTCGGTATTATTCTAATAAAACTTTTTCAGCGTTAAATGCCGCATCATCATTGGGAGTAAATTCTGTGGTAAACGCAGAAGAAATTGTCGATCCTTCTTCAGGACATTTAGGCATTTCAGTTTGATTCTTTCTAAAATCTGAAAACTAATTGTTACCTAATAAATTAGCACTTTCAATTTGATTTTACATTCTAAATAATATTTAAAACATCGTAAATGAATTGTTTTGCCATAGAATTAAGAACTTGAAAAATAAGTCATAAGTTTGAATGTTTAATCAAAAAGTCTCGAGTGTCATCCTTTCCCACGCTAGAAACTACGTTTACAAGCAACTTAACTTCTAAAAAGTATCTCGAGTACAAGCTTGTAATCTCTCTCTATATCGGTTATCCTAATATCATCCTTTAGCATTTAATAATTTGCATTTGTAGCTATAAAATTTGAATATATTCATCAATATCTAGTTTTGAATGACCTTAAATCCTCTCAGGTAATTCATCCTAACTTAATAAATAGTAGCTAGTAGCCCAAATATTTCCGTCAATAATATATAATTGATAGTCTTAATTATTCACAGTTAATACACTGGAATTGCAAATTATGCTAATTTTATTAAATATATTCTTCAATCTCAGTGTTATCATAGCTTTTAAAGGAATACTTTTACAGCTCTAATGGCGCTAGTAGCATCTTTATGCTCCGTAGTTTCACGTTTAAATCACGAGGCCATACATTGTTGTCACAACCAACAGGTAGGTCATATTTTTGAATTTTCTCAAGAGATATTGCTTGAATACTTTATAAATATCATGAAATAAACGGACATGTACTTTTGTTTATGGTAATTTTTAAACAGTTTATTGGCAATAAAGATTAGATTTAAAAAATCATTACAATTATTCATTTACGCAAATAAGTTTATGAAGTGGAGATTCACGTAATGGCTTAACCACTTATGTAAACTTAACTGATTAAAGACTAGTTAGGAATACTATTTTCACGTAGTTAATTTTTTTGCAGGTGAATTTAGATTTAGCATTCGCCGAAAAATCAAACGTAAACATTAACGATTTGGAAGTGCAAGTGATTGGACCCAGTAGACAAGTGCTTAGTGAAGAATCATTGAAGTTACGTAAAAATTGCACACGCAAAGGAGCCGTCATATCAATGATTCCATATCTGCAAGGGCTCCATAATGTTAGTAATTTCTTTATATTTATTCACTCATTTATTCATCCATTTTTGTATATATATTAGCTGAGTATTAGGGTTAGAACAAATTTTCTCAAAGTTTTTAGGGATAAAAATAAGTAAATTCTGATTTTGTATACCCAACATTATACAATTTCAGTAGCTATTATTATTTTAACAAAACTTTGAAGTTTGAATCAAATAAAACAAAATTAAATTTATCTCGAATTTAATCGAATAAATTTTGAAAAGCAATACTTGTTTGATTAAAAACTTTTCTGTCAAATAGAATATTTATTCATTATTTCGATATCATTTATTAAATATTCAATTACTTACATGAAATGTTAATTTTCGTAAATAGCTTCAACGCATATACACTAATATCTCTTTCTATATTAAGTTTTTATGAATATTTATTTGATGCATAAATTTTAAGTCTCATTTTTGTGATTCCTTTTGTTCATATTTCTCTTTTTAATCGTGAATTCAGAGCATCAATTAACATTTTTGCATATTTTACCAATACTACCAATTAATTTTTCCGTACTTTTGAGACACGAAATAATCTCATAATAACCATTTTCTTTTCATTTTTAAACTCTAATTGTATTTATGTTTCCACAAGTATTTAAATTTATTTTTGCTAAAAAAAAATCCTAAAAGTCGCACCTAAAATTTGAATACACAATAAATTAAATTGAAATGACACAGAAGAAATTAGAAGTTAATGCTTAATTAAATGAAACAAAATTTTTTGAAACAATGATAAGTTGATGAATATAGCTGTAATATTCATTTTATATAAATTACAACTTTGGTCAGTAATAACTTTTGTATATCTATCTCTAAATGTGAGAATCTTTGCATTACAATAATTGTGGTATTGATATTATCACTACCAAAGTATGTATGTGTTTGCGCACAAATGCATGTAGTGTAATATATTTTTCAAGAATGATAATTTCAAAGAATTTGCACATTCCATCACAATATACTTGTGTCTGTGTTGAACTGGCACCAGACATCGTTTCTTGCCTATATATTTGTATCGTACGTACGCATACACGCAGGCAAACACGTACATTCATACACATATGTATATATATAGAAAAGTATTGATGAAAATTTGGATAAAATTTTAGAACGTAAAATAAATTAAACAAATATTTTGCAAAATAAATTCAATAACTAAAAATGTTTGCATTAAAAATTTATAACCACAAATATTTGTACTCTAAATTTATATTCAAAATATAAGCAAACTATTATATTATGATCAAACTCAAAACTGATAACTAAATTGTACTTCAAATCAAAAAAAAACACAATTTTGTAATTAAATAAAGCCTATTTTAGCCTTTTTTTTTCAAAATAATGTCTGACGAATCATAATCACTAATATAATAATAATAATAATAATAATAATAATAATAACAATAATAATAATAACTATTATTCATATCTATATATCTGGTTTTAACTTAAAAGGTTGAAAAGTAAATATAATTTATGAATAATTATTTGTATAATGTTTCTCTACTTGGAAGAAATAAATGTATGCTTCAAGAATAAAAGTAAAATCTGCAAATTTATACAAATATTAGTCAAGCAGGCAAAAGACTGCACAATTATCAGCTGATTACTTAGTAAATAAGCCATAAGTTTACTTGCAAATTACTTACTTTCACTTTGAAACTTTCACTTTTTATTTATTTTTCAAATATTTCTAACTTGTAGCAATAAGAAATGTATTTCTTGAAAAACTTGTTTTCGCATTTTATTTTCGTTAACTCTTAAGATGATAACACTGTTACGCTTCCTCATACTTTCTTGTTAGTTTTTTCATGACTTCATTATTTTCTACTTTAGATATATGTACTGTTTCATGATTAATTTTCATGTTTACATGCGCAAATACATTATTCCTATTACTATTATTATTGCTATTATTATATTATTATTGCTATTATTAGTATTATTATTATTATTGTTATTATAATTATTACTGTTATTGTTATTATTCTTGTTGTTTATTTTTGTTTGCGAGCACTTACTTTTTGCTATTTTGCGTGGTGAGACTTGAAATCAAGTTGTACAAAGAATTCAGTGAATCGAGCAGAATTCTGTACTTTTTTATCTTACAAAATGTTTAGAAGTGAAATAATTCTTTGCCATGTAGCAACGATAATAAGTTTTATTTCTTCTATGAAATAATATCCTCCAAAAAACTCTGTTATTACTGTTCCAGTTATCAGCATTAGTTCCATCATAAAATAATCAAATATGTGATCAAACGTGTAAGAATAAGATGATAACCGACAATTAATTAGATGGTCAGATGTTATCAGTGAGGGAACTTTTAATCAAAGTTAACATTTTTCCGACAATAAATAAATAAGAGAAAACTTAAAGTAAATATTACTCTGATAAAGTAAGCTCATTCTTAGTTTTACTTAAAAATCCTTACCTGTACAAAAATAAAACTTAATATTAAACTTAATTTGCAGGAAGGAATAATCAGCTGCCTGCAAGATTTTTTTTCTTATTTCAAATTTAGTTTTAATATTATGCAAATTTTTGGTCCAGAAATCTTTTTGAACTAATTTGGTTTCTATAAAAGTAAATAACTTGCGTGAGGTCACAGCGAGAAAAACAGAAGTTTGTTGCTTACGTGTGATAAATGACCTTCGCATCAGTGAGCGAAAGAAAGATAATGTGGTCGATTGCTGATGACGATGACCTGTGTTGCAGAGAATAAGGGCAAGAGCTGTCTCCTTTGCGCACCCTCCATCACACACTATTCCCTCCCTCTTGCCTAATAACTTCACGAACCTACGCCATATTGGTATTCATCCCCTATTTTCAGATTCCCTTTGACCCCTTATCACTTGAACTTTTGCATTCTGTAACTAATTATTATTATTCCACACTGAAACTTTCTTCAAGCATTTAATTTTACTTTATATTTCTTGTTATTGTCCACTCACAACCATTCATTCTCGCATATTTTTGTCACTTCCTTTACTTTTTTTCTTGAACAAATTAGGCAGAACTGAGTAAAATAATAATATTACTATTATTGATTTGGCATCATTTAAAAAGGCCGACAATGAAACAAAGATTCCAAAAGTGGAACAAAATCAGTGAAATGTAGAATTTCGTTCAAGAATCCTTGAAGAAGTGCTAGAATGCTTGCTTACACGAAGTCACTGCCTTACTTCTCTTCCAGAATCAATATTGCTGAGAAAGTTACATTTCAAATAATACTCACTAAATATTTAAATTTTCAATATATAAAAATTGCGTATTTAACTTTAATAAAAATCTTAATTCACTAATTAATAAATTCTATTACAAAAATTTGAATTTGACCTAATTTGTCAAAAAAGGTCAAACTCAATCTGAATTTTTGTTTTTTTGAATTACAAAATCTAACTGTATCTTTTTTGCGTATACAAGCTATCATTTACTGATTCTACTCTTTAGTACTTCAAAATTTAATACATAAATACTTAAATAAAACTTTAAATACTCATAATTTTCTGTTAGTCTTTTGGCTTATTAAAGATACTTTTTTAACTCAATCATTTTTAAAAATGTAATGAATAATTTTTTAATAAGGTCAAGAACTAAACTATATTTATTAGGCTGAACTGAGTTGAATATATATATGTACAAAAATTATTTCCAAAAAAATTATTAAAAATTATTTAAACTAATAAAACTTTATTAAAATTAACTGTAGTAAAATTAATGCTTACATACATATGCATACAAACATTAAATTAATATTTTAAAAAAATTAAATTAATATAAAATTAATTTTTAATGTTTATATACATATATCTATATATATTTAAACATTAAATTAATATTTAAAAAATTAAACTTTAAATTCGATAAAATTTTATTAATTTAAATAATTTTTAATAATTAAAAAAAAAATAATTCTTATACATATTTGTATTTGACCTGTATGAATAGGAAATATTGGGTTTTATAGAAAATTTTTCCAGTATTAGAATTTATTAATTACTGATTTAAGATTTTTGAATATATATACGTATAAAAATTATAT